CCCAGCACTCAGGAGGCAGAGGCAGGTGGATCTCTGTGAGGTCGACGCCCGCCCGGGCTACAGAACAAGATCCAGGGCAGGGCCCACAACAAAAAAAAAAAAAAGAATTTCCCATCAAATGGACCTGAGAAGCAAGCCAGTGTAGCTACCCTAATATCTAATAAAACAGGCTTCAAACTAAAATTAATTTTAAGATATGGAGAAGGGCATTTCATATTCAAAGGAGAAAAACATCAAAATGAAGTCTCAATTATTAACATTTATGACCCAAATACAAGGGCACCCACATTTGTACAAGAAACATTACTAAAGATTAAATCACATATCAAATCACACATATTAATAGTAAGAAACTTCAACATCCCACTCTCACCAGTAGACAGGTATGCTAGACAGAAACTTAACAGAGAAATAAGGGAAAGAATAGATGTTATGATTCAAAAGACTTAACGGGTATCTACAGAAAAGTTCACCCAAAAAAGAAAGAATATAACTGCTTCTCAGCACAGTTCAACTGAATTACCACTGGGTCAAGGAATAAATAAAACTAGAAATTAAAGACCACCTAAAATCCAATGAAAATGAATCCATGGCATATCCAAACTTAAGGGACACTATGAAAGCAGTGCTAAGAAGAAAGTTCATAACACTAAGTACTTACATAAAGAATTTGGAGAAATCTCACACTAATGACTTAACACACCTGAAAGCTATAGAAAAAAAACTCACCCAGGAGGAGCAAACAGCCAGAAATAATAAAAGTCTATGCTGAAATCAGTAAAATGGAAACAAAGAGCAACACCAAGAATCAGTGATATCAACAAGATATCAAAACAAACTAAAAGGCAGAGAGAAAATATCCAAATTAACAGAATGAGAAATAAAAATAACAACAGATACTGAGGAAATCCAGGCAATCTTTAGGCCATGCTTCAAAAACCTGTACTCCACAAAATTGGAAAATCTAAAAGAAATGGACAATTATCTTAATAGGTACCACATACCAAAATAAAATCAATTCAAAACTACATAAATAATTTAAATAGACCTATAATCCCTAAAGAAAGAGAAGTCATTAAATGTCTCCCCCC